GAAAACAGGAGAAAATGCAGCTTAAATCAAAGGGCAAATACACGGAAAGAGAAAAGGCAATAGGATTTGTGTTCATGGCTAAAGAGGAGAGTTGTGGGGTGGTGATCAGACAGAGGGTAATTGAAAAGAAATGGAAAATGGAGTTCAGGATAAATATTTTCTTGGGAGAAAGCAGGCTGAAAGCTTGAAATAAGCTATTATTAATATCAGCCTGAATGTAGGGAGAATGTGCAGGGAGGAGGGTTGTGGGTAAGGGATGGGGAGTGAAAGTAGGAGATTAGGGTGCAGAATGGCTTCTACCTACCTGAGGGGCCCCAGATCTGAGCGGGGCCGGGGCCAGATGAGAAAGGTCTCCTCTGGCTGGGCAGAAGGCTGGGAATCCCCTTCCTTCCCTGCTCAACAGCTGGTAGCCACGTGCCCCTGTCCCAGCCTGCGTGTCCGGCCCCTCTGCCTGCCCTGTGGCCAAGCTGTGTCTCAGGGAGCTCTTCCACAGGGGGCTCCTTGCTCAGGGATGGTGTGGGACAGGGATGGAATGGGGCTGGAATGGTGTGGGGCTGAGACTGTGTGCAGCAGGGCTACAGGATCCTCTGCCCACCCCAGGGCGGGAGGTGGGCACACCATCCCTGACTCCTCTGCTTGTTCAGGGAAATGCAGCACAATGCTAGACCCCAAAGTTGTGGGGTTCCAGGGCTCAGGACTAAGTGGAGGATCCCTGTCTCTCACAGCCTTGGAACAAGGGGTCCAGGATACAGAGAGCTGGGGGCAGCACAGCTGGCTGCTGCCTCCTCCCCCTCCAACCCCCAGTGCCACAAAGCAGGGAATCCGTACACAAATTCTCTACTTTCTGCCTGAATCTCACCTGTCTCTGCCTTGCTGCAAGACACACTCTCCACAGGCAGGAAATATGAGCTGGATGTGGGAATTTGCGGCCATCCAGGTTACTCCATCAGTACTGGGCAAGGCAGGGGGCTCCTGTGCCAGGAGTTTGGGGGACACAGGGAAAGGTCTGGGGGCTCAGCCTTCCACTTTGCACATATTTCCCAGGCATGGGCAGCTGCAGCCAGCTCTGCCTGCTGTCCCAAGGAATGTCCCAGTTCTGGATGTCCCATCTAACCTGGCTGCAGTGGGGCTGGCTGCGTGCAGGGGGTCCTGAGCACCAGGTGGGCTGGGGACCAGAGGGGGTCTGGGTGATGGTAGTCCATGACATCCCAGCAGGTGCAGCCCACCCATTCCTCTCAGAGGGTATTTTAGGGATGTCTCCACAGTCACCCCAGGGGGGTCTGTGTAATGGGAGGGATGCATCCCCCCAGCCCCTCATCTCTCCATCCCTATGTGCAGTTGCCATGGCAATGAGGAAAGAAGGCTCCCTCACTCCCGGATGCTTGGCACCAACGTTCCTCCGCACGGCCTTGGCTGCTGCTGGGACATGATGAGATGTTCATCAGAGCTAATTGCCAGGAAGCCACCCCCATGCTCTGTGCCAAGTCTCATCTCCAGCCCATGGCTTGTCTCCCATGGCACTGTGCTGTCCCCAGCACTGTGGAGTGTTCTGCTGTCCCCAAACCTGGCCCAGACTGGGGTCAGCATCATCAGACTAGTCCCCTTGCTCCTAAACACCGCACACACACTGCTGGAAAGTCAAGGCATTTCCCATATCTAAAAAAAAAAAGTAATTAATTGGAAAGGTCGTTCTTATTTATTCTTTTGTTACACAACCCCCAAGCTACCAAACAGTCAAATTAAGTCTTGGAGTGTTTAATGAAGGATCAGGGAAAACATCTCATCGGTTCAAACAGCCATTCCCGTTGCAAAAACACCACACGAAGCACGGCTGCTCTGCTGGGCACTGCAGGGGCATCCCAGGAGCTGCCTATGGGCACTTGGGCCATGGGCCTGGACAGGGCTGGGCACCAGCAGTGCCGCGGCCGCAGCCCGATGAGTTCCCTGTTCTACTCACAGGGGAAGGATTTTTTTTAATAGGGCCCCATGGAGACATCAGAGCAATTTTCAAGGAGGTTTGAAGCCACCGGGAAGCTTATTAGATCCGTTCTGCAGAGTTAATTTGATGTTGGTAATCAGTGAGCAAGTTAAGCAGTTAAGGAGATGGCGGCTGCTGAAGGGTTGGGCTGTTTAGCCGCCTTGTAAGCAGTGGTTACTAATGAGAGGCTCATGAATATGAATGAGGGATGATTACAGTGTGGAAAGGGCAGTCAGCAAACCATAAACCTAATTTTAATCTTTTTATTATCAAAGTCACGTTATTAATAATAGGCTTTACCTTGAGACCGAGCTCCATCAGGCAATTACTGCTCTCAGCAGCACTCAGCACCAGGGTCTGCGAGGGGCTGAGGGTGGGACCCTGTGTGTTGTGATGTGCCAGGGCATCTGGTCTCTTCCATCAGCACAGGCTGGACTGCCAGTGACCCTCACCCACCCTCCTCCCTGGGGCTGGTGCTTGGACAGTGGTACAAGGAGCCAGATGCTGAGACCACCCTGTCCCTCTTCTCGCCAGAAGCACAGCAGCCCTGTCCCACCAGCCACAGGCATCCTGGTCACTGCCACCACAGGGATGGCACGTCACAACTGGACACTGTCCCTCAGTCCTGGAAAAGGACAGTCCTATTTTCTCAATGTCTAATTAATTGTAATTATTTCCTTATGGTGCTATCGATACAGGTGCTCGTGTAATGAGGCAGCAGTTCCTGTGTGAAATGCTGAAGCAAGGGATGTAGAACATGTTAAAAAATATTAATCTACAAATGAAAATGATTTTAATTGGATTCTGCCTTTGGGGTCAGGTCACTGCTCCATTTTCAATCAGAGTTGTCCAGTCAGCAAAGCAGCGGCACAGCCCTTTCATAGGGAAACGGCGAGTGGCTCGCAGAGGTTAATAGGAATGTTGGAAAATAAATAGGTTATTGATTGATAATAACAATAAGCTGACTCCAGTCCTACCTTGGTGACCTTCTCTCACCCAACTTAGAGAAAACTCAGTTAGCATCTAATTATGGATTGCCTCACAATCCCACGCATTAATGAGAGTGCGGCAGCGCAGGCCCAGAGCCCACTCTCGGCAGAGGGGAGAGCCCAGATGTGATCGCTCCTGGAGAAACCAGGATCCAGGAGCCCTGGGCATGGCATGGAATCACAGGATGATTTGGGTTAGAAAGGACCTTAAAGGCCATCCAGTTCCACCCTCTCCCACGGGCAGGGACTCCTTCCATTATCCCAGGTTGCTCCAAGCCCCATCCAACCTGGCCTTGGACACTTCCAGGGATGGGGCAGCCACAGCTTCTCTGGGCAACCTGTGCCAGGGCCTCACCACCCTCAAAGGGAAGAATTTCTCTCTAATATCCAGTCTAAACCTACTCTCTGTCAGCCTAAAGACATTATCCTGGTGCCCAACTAAGCTGCAGCCACTGCCTTGTTCTACAAAGGTGGAAGAGAGAAGGACAGTGGCTTCACACGTGCAGAGCTCTGTAACTGAGAGTTAAATTGCTTCAAGATGTGCCAGAATATCTTGCCTTCAGGTCCAGCTTCACTCATTATTCCACATATGGCTCTCAGCCCTGCTTGCTGCAAGATATGGAATAGTCAGAACTACCTGGGAAACAAGAAGATTCCTGGCGGTGGGCACAGCTCTAGGGGAGGAAAGCCTTTCCTTGCCCAGAGGTGAGCAGCCAGCACAGGGGATGCCAGACAGTGGGAGAGCCAGGGGCAGGGGAGGGACTCGGGAGCAGGGGCATGAGGTACGGATGAGCTCCCATGGCAGCAGCAGCCTCCTGCACTCTCGAGGCTCCCAACACAGAGCTGCCCTGGACCTGCTCCCCAGCCTGGCGTCCTGCTCGCCTGCCCAGCTCTTTTGGCAGCTCCATGGTCATCATCCGGTGCTTGGGGCTTTAACAATCCCTCCGGCAAAGCCCTTCCCTCAGGGCCCCTCGGTGGCAGAGACCTCAGCGCCACTCGCAGCAGCTCCGCGAAATGCCACGCATCCATTTCACAGAACCGCGGCGCAATTTGATGCAAATGAACAGCATTTCTCTTGCTTGTACACATTCCCTGTCAACACACGTTGAAGAGGCTCACTGTGACATGTCAAAATGCTGCTCACGGAGGGGAAAATAAATACGGCGGTTTGGATGCTGCCTTCCCGCTCCGCCGGGAATGGCCGGGCAGGGGATGGAGTCGGGACCCCTCCCCGCGACAGCCGGAGGGGTCTCCAGCCTCCCGCTGGGAGAGGGACGGACAGGCACCGCGCCCTGCTCTGTGTGACCATCGTGTCCCAGGCAGGAATCACAGAATCATGGAATGGTTTGGGTTGGAAGAAGGTTCATTTCGTTCCACTACCCCGTCATGGGCAGGGGCACCTTCCACTAGCCCAGGCTGCTCCAAGCCCCGTCCAGCCTGGCCTTGAACACTTCCAGAGATGGAGCCGGGGCAGGGACTTTCCTGGAGCACGAGCTCCACCTGCCGCCGCCCTCCCGGCCCGGCCCGGTACCTGCGGGTGCCCCGAGCCCCCCAGACCGGCCCCCCGCCCCCGCAGCCCCCGGCCGCTGCTTCCCCGCTCCGCGCTGCTTCCCCGATCGATCCCCGGGCACGGCCCCGCCGCGGGGTCTCCCGGCTGGGAGCGCGGCGTGGGGTTCGTGCCCGCACTGCACCCCGCACCCCGCGCTGCCCGCCCCGATCGCTGCCCGCGTTGGGTGGTATCACCACCGCCCCCAGGACCACCCTCCGGCGGTGCGCGGGGGGGGCGATCCCCGTCCTGCGTCCCCGCAGGACCGTCCACTCAGGGCCCGGAGCGTCTCTATCCCCTCCTCTCCCTCCACCCGCCCCGCGTGGCCCCAGATGTTCAGCAACATGCCGAGGTGGCTGCGGTGAGAACCATCTGTCCTGACCACCCCGCACCCCATAGTGTGTCCCGTGGGAGCTGGGGCACCCCCTGCCCCACCCCACCCGCTTCTCCCAGCCCCCCACACCTCACAAAGACACCAGACTGCAGGGTGGTTGCACACTTGCCATGTTCACAGTAGACATTACAGGCAGCAGGGACATCCTCGGGGCTGTGGGTTCATCCTCGGGGCCGTGGTGACCTGCGGGATTCCTGCTCACACCGCTGAGGCCACCCCAGGACTCCCTGCCCCAGAGCATCCCCACGCCCCACTCCAGTGTCCAGTCCAGTCCCACCGTGGCTGTGCCCGCTCCCACCGTGCTGACGTGGGGTGAGTGCGGGGTCCTGCAGAGCAGGGGCAGCCCTGGCCAGCTTGGTCTGGAGCACCCTGGGCAAGATGGTGCACCCAGGGCTGACACCTTCTGACCTCTGCCCATGTTGCTGTTGGGGTGCCCCAGCCCCACTCCTCCCTGCACCAGCAAAGTGGGAGAAACAGACAGACAGACTGACCAACTCCTCTGCCAGCTGCAGGAATTGGGGAGCAGGGACAGGGAGCCCCAAGGTGCTGAAGCAGAGGAAAGGAGCAACCAGGCTGTTTGGGGAAGCCTCCCTGCCCTCTAGGCCTGCTCAGCTCAGCAATGGTGGCTCTGCAACGGGAGCAGCTACCCAAAGGCACTGGTGGTCTGTCCCCACTGAGCGGTCTGTGGGCAACACTGGCTGCCCCTGGAGGGCCACATTTGTCCAGTGCATCCTCTTGGCTATCAGGGTGACTTGTGGTCCCATGACTCCCCTCAGTGACCAGCCTGGGGAGGTCCCCCTGGGTGCAGGAGGGCTGCTCTGGAGCAGAAAGAAGGGTTGTGGGGCAGGGAGGAGAGTCCCTCACAATGGTGGGCTCTGACAACCCCAGCCCAGTGCTGGTGGTGCTCCTACCTGTGCAGGAGCCGTGAACCTGCCCACCCTGTGCCCAACCTGGCTTGCCCTCCTAGCCCATTCCTGTCCCTGCACCCCTGCTTCCTCCTCTGCCCCCAGCCCACAGCAGGGCCCTGTGTCCCCCTTCCATCAAACATAGGAGCATCAGCCCAAAAACCCACCCTGGTGCCAGCTGTGTGGAGGAAGGGTAGGCATATGGTTAGTGAAATAAGGTGGAGGTTGGACAGACACGGAGCTGGGTGAGGAGGGGACCCCCATCAGCCTGAGAGCCCAGTGACACCCCAACTGAAGGAGCAGGCTTGGGTCAGCGCAGAGCTGGGATGCCCAGGAGCAGTGGCAGCATTAGGGGGTGGACCCAGCCATCCAGGGGGACCCCACTCTGGTTCTGCCTTTCATTGAAGGCAGGAGCTGCTGTGGGGTGATGGTGACACCAGCCAGTGACAGTGACTGGGGAGACCACGGGGTTAGTGAGCATAAGGCAAAGCCAAGAAAGAGCAGCCAGAGCTGGATGCTGCCTGGATCTGTAACCCCCAGACAGAGCTGCCCTGATCCTTGGTGGGGGCAGCCCCACACTGCTGTGTCCCCACAGCAGCGACAGTCTGGGGTGTCCTCATGAGCCAGCCCATGCCCACCAGCAGCACAGGGCCACCATCCTCTGCTGGCACACAGGGCTTGGCTTTGCCCCACTGGTCATGGCAGTCCTGAACATGGCAGTGGTGGTGCCTGGCCCTGGGTCACCAGCCCATGTCCAAACCTACACTGTTGGGCCAGGTCCTGGAGACTTCACCTTGGCAGGACCCCTGAGAGGCCGGGAACGTTCTTCCAACTGACAGACAAACAGAAAGCAAAGCCCAGGCTGTGCCTCCATCACAGCCTGATGGCAGAGCCCCCTCTGACACCCACTGCCCCCTCCTGCCCTCGGCTCATTACCAGCCCAGCGGTCACACACAGGTATGGTTAGTCACGCCCACGCTGCTGGCAACAGCTTCCACATGCACCAGGCACAAGATAAACTGTGGAAAGACAAAGGGAGTGAAGAGAGGAGCCCGGGAGTGTCCGCGAGCCAATTCACGGAGCAGCACAAGACCATTCCCCATGACGGGTGACGTGGGGCCCCAGGAGAGGCCCAAACTCAGGCTCTGGTGGGGCTCATGGGCAATAGCATCACTCTGTGGCTGAATCTCTCTGGGTTTGCTGGATCTTTACAGCCATTACTGGTCATTATTAATGGTTTTGTATTGTCCTATTGCCTCTCAGCCTCTTTTCCTCATTGCGCCACATGAAATTTCTCGGAAAACAGAAGGCAAATGGGGAAATTTCCAAAACCCTCCAGTAAAGGCATCTTCCTTCCCATTGCACCGAATGGGAGCCAGGGATGCTCAGCAGCACTGAAAATTGGGGTGCTGCAGGTTGATAACCAGAAGTCCAGGAGGAGCCACCGTCACTTGTCATGGCAAATAGCATCCGAGAGGCAAAGTGCAAAGAGAGTTGGTTAGTAGCAAGAGGGAAACAGGTCAGGAAGGATTAGTACAGTGCTAACAGAAGTACAGGTTAGTAACAGAAGCAGGGCACCGGTCTGCCTTAGGACACACACACTGGAAGAGAAATGAAGAGAAAAGCAGCAATGGTTAGTTTGTTTAATTCAGTTCAGGAATGTGTTAGTAACAGAGATCTACTGGCTTAAAAAGGAACTGAAAAGCTTCTGCTGATAAAACCGTTTTAGGCTCCTAGTCAGCAACAGGCTCACGGGCAGAGCCGGGCAGGGCGTGCGAGGAGAAACCCTCTCCTCGTGCTGGCAAGGGCTGCCCAGGGCAGGGGCTGCTGGTTCCCTCTCCTGCCTGGGGCAGGGACTGTTGGTCCCCTCTCCTGCCCAGAACAGGGGCTGCTTGCATGGGCAGGGGCTGCCAGTCCTCCCTCCTGCTCACAGCTGGGGCTGGGGCTGCCTGTATAGGCAGAGCTTGACGGACACGGCCCAATGCTGGGCAGGGGCTGCCAATCCCCTCTCCTGCCCACAGCTGGGGCTGCCCTTGCCCGTCCCTGCCTGTACAGCCTGGCACTGACACCTGGCACTTCCAAACCTCCTTTCCCAGCTTTTCCGTTCCCCTTTAAAGGCAGCACTGCTGCCACAGTTAGTGAGTGTGAGGCAGGGCTGGCTGTGGGTTAGTAGGGCATGCACTGGGGCCAGTTAGTGGGTTAGTCCGTGTGCCAGGGGCTGTGCCAGCCCCTGGTGAGGGCACAGGGTCCCAGCGGGTTAGTAGGTTAATGTCAGAGCGCAGCGGCAGCATGCAGAGCCAGGCCCAGTGAGCAGCAGGGCTCTGGCTCACAAGAGCAGGAGGCGTTTTGGGGCGTTGCTACCACATCGAGATTTGGGAAGGTGTTATTGGAGGGCTTAACCTGCGTAATGTAACCTGTTTCTGAGTTAAATGCTTTGCAAGGATCTGCCCCTCTCATCCAGGCCAGTGAGGTACCAAATGCCCGGAGCAGTGTGTCCTCACACAGAGTGTGCTTCCCACTCCTAGTACTGGTGAGGGTGGGAGACTGGATGCATAGAAGAGACAGTCCCAGCAGCGCAAGGCAGTGACTCAGGTCAGGGCACTAAAGGAGCTGGAAGAAGCAGAGAGGGAAGGGGTGAAAGCATCACTGACCATGCCTGGGGCAAGGCTACGGGCAGCTCTGCAAGAGCAGGGCTTCTGCAGAGAGCTGCTCTAGGTCTCCACTGAGCTCCCATTGCCTGTGAAGGGAGGAAGAGATTCAGCAGGGAAAACCATGCCATGGAGCAGAGGAAAAGTGGCCCATAGCTTACCCCTTCCCTGTCAGAAGCTACCTCTCCATGGAGCTAAGCAGTGCTCTGAGGGCAGTAAGAGCACTGTGCCCTGAGAAACAGGGCTGTTGTGGGGCACCCAGGGCACCCTCTGTCCCATGTTCCTCTGGGTTACCTCCTCCTGCAGCACTAACTCCTGCTGGTCCCCAAGAGGATGCCTTTCCAGCTTGGACTTCAAGGCTCTAACACCTGCCACAAGCTGTGTCTGCCCTCAGCCACCAGCCCACCTCATTCCCAGCTCTCCCTCCTGTGCAGAGACAGGAGCCGGAGTGACTGCTTGGTGCGGCCACAGCCCAACCACTTACTGGGCCACTGCCACCCCCACAGAGGTCATGGGAGGAGGATTCACTGCCCATGACCCTCCACACACTCCAGGCTGCTCCACAGGGCAAGGGAGACAGGGCAAGGGAGAACATGGCACTAGAAGTGCAAGGCAGTTCCAGGGCAGAAAGCAGCAGGACTTCACCAACAGACAGAGGGACGGGCAGGATCAGTGGGGACAACCAGAGTCCCTTTGTGCTCTGGCCATTGTGTCTCATTGAGGAGCTGGCACAGCTCCATCCCTGTTGCCTCCCCTTCTCCCTCTCCCTACACTGGGTTCAGGGAAGGGGATGGGTCTCATCCTGCCCATGGCTGGGATGGAGCAGCGGAAGGGAAGGGAACCCCAGCACCTTGCAGGAAAACCGCGAGCACATGCAGACCCGTGTCCTCAGGTGTCCCCAGCGCCGTGTCCTCGGCTGTGTCCCCCGCAGTGGCCGGGCTCGTGGCTCTGGCCCATGGCACTGAGCACCAGGCTGCTCTGCTGGGGCCAGCCCGTCTCTGGCATTGTGTGCAGGTGGTGACATCGGCTCCGCGAGCCTGGCTCCTCTCCAGGCACAGCTGGTCTGGCCAGGCAGGAGCTGAGGCCGTGTCTCTGGGATGGTGGCACTGGGGAGCAGAGATGCTGTGAGACCCTGGGCAGTGTGGCAACCACCCCCTCCCCACTGGTGAGCATTCTCTCATGCAGGTGGCCCTGGAGATGGTGTGACCCCCTGGACACCACTGGAGCCTGGGCAGGAAGGCTCCTGGCTGCCCAGAGCCCTCCCAGCTTGCTAGGGGTGGGAGAGCATGGGGCTGGTACCGCCTGTGTCCCCTCCCTGGGGATCCTACCTGTGGTCACCAGCTATGCAAGTGCCGTGCAATGTCCCCCCATCCTGTGTGGCTCTGCGCTGTGGAGGCCGCGAGGGGACTGTGTGAACAGACTTCAGGTCAGTCATTAGCAGCTGCAAAAGAAACAACCAACGCAGCAAGGGAGAGACACACGGCACCATCCTCAGGCAGAGCCGAGCCAAGCTGGCAGGAGCCTGGCAGGAGGGCTGGGCAGGGATCCTCCTGTCCCTTTCCCCTTGCAGAGCAGGGAGCTAGACCCACCACCAGGCACAGGGGGGCACCAGGAACCACCACATCAGAAATGGTGGCAATGCCCCAAACTGTCCCTACCTGGTGTGGGAACCCCTGCACTGAGGGCAGGGACTGACTTCCACTGCCACTGCTACTGCTGCCTCTGCCAGCTCTGCTCCTGCCCTGTGGTTAAGCTGGGTCACTGGGACCCTGTGGTTCCGCAGGCACCAGTTGTACTGGGGCAGCCGGCAGTCACAACTGCGCTGTGGTGGGTGCTACTCCACCTCCACAGGGATACAGGGACACATGGCTGGTGCCAGCAGCCAGCCCATGTCTGCTGCCTGCCCTGTTCCTGCTTCTGCCCTGTTCCTGCTTCTGCCCTGCTCCTGTTTCTGACCTGCTCTGGTTCCTGCTCCTGCTCTGCTTCTGCTCCTGCTCCTGCCCTGCTCCTGCTCCTGCCTTTCTCCTGCTGCTGCCTTGCTCCTGCTGCTGCCCTGATTCTGCTCCTGCCCTGCCCGCCTGGAAAAGCCAGGACTGCAGCAGGTCCTGGGGGAGCTGGGCCGTGATGACTCTGCATGTTCAGCTGTGGAGCTGCTCCTGCTTCCTGCGGTTCATTGTCACCACATGCCGCAGGCACTGCTGGCAGGACGGTCCCTCCCATGGGGACAGCATGTCCAGGCAGCATTTGCAACCCAGCTGCGGGAATGAGCTCCGGAGATGCCATCGAGCATCTGGCAAATGGATCCCCTGCCTGGATCTGAACGGGAGGTGGGATCAGAGCGGGAGGTGCCTGTGGTGGGTCAGGCGGACCATGATGGCTGTGGGATGGCCTCTCTCACCCGGCAATGAAACACATCCCAGGAGACAGGGAGGGAAAACAATTTTGTGCAGGCAGGGCTCAGCTAAACACTCTGTCTGGGGCAGAGTGAGCAGTGATTGCCAGCCACGAGCCAGAGCTTCCTCTGCCACACAGGGTGGGTGGCACATATGGTGCTGCTGAGCACCTGGATTAAACAGGGGCTAGACCCCCCCCGGAGTGAGGAGGGTGGGACAGGAGCACAGGCTCCACAGCAGGCAGGAGCAGGGAAATAAGGCCACAGCAGGCACGGCATTGCCATGAGCTGCCTGTGCCCAGAGAGATGATCTCTGGGATGTGGCATCTGGGCACCCCAGTCCCCCAGCTCCCAGCAGGGTGGCCAAATACCTTTGCCCTGGGCCCTGCCAGCACTGCCTGACCCTTGCTGCCATCCAGCAGAGCCCAGGCTCTGGCACATCCCAGGCTCCCTTGCTGCTGCTGCAGCAGTGCCAGGCACTACCACCTTTGTCTACAGCTCTGAGGCTGGGCAGCCTGGGAGAAGGGAGGGTGAGGGTGTGAAAGGCTCCCTGAAAACCCAGAACACCAGAAAACCTGATTATTTCTGGGCTCCTCCTGGGGCCCTGGGCAGGACCTACTCACACACACAAAAGGCTGCGAGACAATGAGGGAGAGAAAATGGCTCCGAGAGAGGAGCATCTGGCAGGTTAACTCTGAAGGAGGGGCTGTGCTGTGCCCCAGGAGTGTTGGCCCCAGCCTCGCCTCTAATCCCCACCCAGGATCCCCATCTTTAGGAGAAAATGGGGATTAGGAGACAAAGCAGTGAACCAGCATTTTGGCTACAATTCTTCCCAGGGGCATTGAAAATCAGGCAAGAATCCATTTACCTGGCAGGAACCCTATTCTTGGTGAGGATTCTGAAAAAAAAAAATACAAACAAGCGGTGCAGCAATTAGTTCTGATTTGGGCCGGGGGCTGCAGGCTGTGTCCAGGGTGGGCCAGGCTGCCCGGTGCCGCCACCGGACCGAGATTACGCGGGATCGCCGGCCGGGCCGGGAAGCGGCCGGGAACACGCTGCGGGATGAGCGGCTGGCCCTGCCCTAACAAAGGGAGGGGGCCCGGGCTGCCCCAGCCTGGCACCCCCGGGAAGCGGGGGCTCCTGCCGGGGAGCGAGGCTCTCATGGGATTATATATAACCAGGGAATAATATATGGGAGGGGTTGGGTGTATTTTTTGGAGACGGAGTGGCAGGAGCAGCCCCGCCTGCCGGCTCCGCACCCCCCGGAACGATGCCCGCAGGACCCCCCGAGCCCCGGGGCGGCATCGCCCCCCGCTCCCGCCCCGAGGTGGGGGCGGCCCGCGGGCTCCCCGCGCCCCCAGACCCCACTGGTGCCCCACTTCCATCCGGAGGGAACGGAGCGATGTCCGCGGAGCGTTACCTGCTCCCGGGGGCCGGGTTGGGGCTGGGGGGCGCCGGCTCCGCTCGCTTCTGCCCGCCGCGCCGCTCCTTTGTGCTGGAGCTTTCCCAGAGCATCCCTGAGGAAGAGGCGGCCACGCAAACTCCTCCTCCCGCAGCCCCCGGCCCCCCCCGGCCCTACCTACGGCGTAGGAGGATGCTGCAACTCGCTTTAAATTTTAATGCTGGAAATGCGGCCAAGTCACCTTCCCCCCGCAGCGCTCCCGCACCGCTCTCCCCTCCATATCGCTCCCGCATCGCTTCCAGCACTGCTCCCGCATCGTTCCCTGCACCCTTCCCGCACTTCTCTGCACCGATCCCGCTTCGGGAGACCCCGGGGACCCCTTAGCCACGACAGTCGATAGAAAGGCCACTGTCATGCCCCCTGCCAGGACACCGTCCCCCGTGATGTCACAGGCTCCCCACAGCCCTTTGGGGTGGTGTGGGTACCCCACAGCCCTGGGGTGGCCCAGGGGACACGGGACAAGGGTCACTGGGCAGGGGCTGCTGCGGGCACATCCCTGGGGTCATGGTGGGCAGGATGTGGCTGGGTTCGGTAGGGGGGATAGCAAGAGACCCAGCCCGGCCTGGGGACACAGCCTTGCCGGAGGACAGCCCCTCCATCCCGGGGACAGCCCCACTCCTGGTCAGAGGGCTGTGACAGCCCCTCCTCAGAGCTGTGCAGCTGCTGGGCTCCTGCATTGTTCTCCAGGTCCCCGCCGGGTCCCTGGGGACCCCCGGTCCCGCTGCCAGCTGTCCACCGTGTCTGGCTGCGTGCTGGATCCTCACCCAGCCCCCCACCCTGCCCTGGGTCTCTGGAGCTAGGCAGGGTCGGGAGGGGGGCCCAGGACGGGGGGCCCCCCCATCTTTGGCCATAGAGAGGCCAGGAAGCCCCACTCCTTGGGTCTCGCTGGCTGCCGGCCCTGATGGGTTTGCCCTGGGGTGCAGGAGGGTTTCACTCAGCCCTTCCCAAAACTTTTTGTTTCTTCTTCTATTTTTCCTTTTTTATTGTGATTCCAGTGGATAGAATCCCTTTCTGGGCAGCATTGCCCATTCCCTCCACTGGTGGCCCTGCTACTGCAAATGTCATGGATGGGACATTTTCATCACATCAAGCCTTTTCTCCAGAGCTCTTCTGAAATGAGGAATTTTTCTAGACCAGCCTTTTCCTGCCACATTTCCAGCTTTGGCTGCGCACTGGGTGTACAGCAGTAAGGGATCAATGCTCGGATGGGTGCAGGGGTGTGCATGAATGTGGGGATAGGTGCACAGCATGCACCTGCCACTTGCTGAGTCCTGCAGCTCCTTCCAGCCCCTGGCAGGTGCTGGTAGAGCAGATGGGGTGTACAAGGTAGTGGGATGTGGGGGTTCTGCAGAGCCCCTGAGCCTGCAACTGGCCTGGCACAGGGCTTTACCTGCCTGTGACAGTGACATGTGCTGGTTGCAGGGGCAGAAAAGATCCCACTCACCCCATCCGTGCCCCTGCAGACCCCTCACTCTGCCTCCACACATGACATCATTCCCGACCACACACCCTCATGGTCCCCTCTTCCCCAACTGCCAGTGCCGCCTTGGACAACTGAGCCTTTATTGAGCTTTGCCCCCACTGCCCCGCGGGACAGACGGTGCCCAGAGCGTGTGGCCGGTGGTGCGGGGGCTCCGGCACCGCGGTCACTGCTGGACCCTGCGGATGGACTGGACCTGGCCCGTCTGCGCATGGGAGCCCCACTCTCGCACGTGCTTGTATTCGCCCGCGGGGCTGTCGCTCTCCAGGAGGTACTGGAAGCCTCGGTACCCTGGGTACTGCGAGCAGACCCACCTGCGACAGAGCAGAGAACGGCGGTGGCTCAGGGCTGGCAGCACCATGGAGCTCCCGTGCTGTGGGTGCCAGAAGCTGCCAGAGCATCCTCGGCCCTGCCATGTGCCTCGGTGCTGGGTCCTGCAGGGTGCGAGCCCCCGGGTACTCACGCGCCGGAGCGGACAAGGAAGGAGCCCACGGTGCTGCTGCCCCAGCCAAGGGCAGGCAGGGAGGGGCAGTCGTTGCTCATCTCTGCCCGCTTGCCCTGGAAGTTCTCCTGCTCGAAGAGCATCAGCCGGCTGCGACCGTGGTCCTGCGGCCAAGAGGAGCACGGTGTTGGCACGGCCGCCCTGCCCGGCTCACCTGGCCGGCCCTGCGGGGGGAGCCGGGGCGGGGGCACTCACGGCGCAGGCGATGGGGCGGAAGGAGCACATCCTCTCCACGTGGTAGGCGTTGCTGCCGCTCCACGCCTCCCAGCACGGGTAATCGCCGCGCTCCAGCACAAACTGCTGCCCCTGGAAACCGCAGTGCTCGAAGCCTGCCCACCTACCGGGGCGGGAGGGGGTTGAGACCCTCAGGGTGCCCACCGCCCCACTCACACCCAGGGCTGTGCCCGCTGCGCACAATGGGTGTCCAGAGGAGGCGGCCCCATGGCTCAGGGGGCAAAAGGCACTGGATACCTCCATCCCCCAAACCCCCTCCATCCATGGGGTCCCATGGCACCGCGAGGTGGCAGTGCCCCAAGACCCCCACTCACGCCCCACTCTCGATCCTGCAGGAGCGGACGGTGCTGAAGCCATGATCCAGGGTGCTGTAGCAGTCGGTGGTGAACTCATGCTTCTTGCCCTGGAAAAAAGGCTCATCCCACACCACGATCTGGGGGGGGATAGAGGGAGTCAGGGGGCTCCGGGGGTACGGAGGCCCTGAATAGATGCTGCAGCCCCATTCTCAGGTGTTCACAGGGTGTGGTGCTGGTACTGCCCAGGCTCCTGTACCTTCCAGAGACCGGAGGATCTCTTGCAGCGGTGGGTCATGGTGGCTCTGCCAGGGCACAGGGGAACAGGACTGTCAAAATTGCCCCTCTGCCCAGATGAAATGCCCTCAGGAGCCCATGCACATCTCTTCACCAGAAGTGTGGGGGGCAAAAAGGGGGTTGCTTCCTGCTGGAGCAGAAAAGCATGGGCTGGGGTTCTCCCTGCCCACCCAGAGCTGCTGCCTGGGCTGTGCAGACCAGTGGGCACCTGGCCCTGGCAGCCATCCTAGCACTGCCTGCCCATGCCCGGGGAGACTCCTCCCACTGGCAGATCCCTGAGCCAAAGCACCCGTGCATGCAGCCGGTGCAGGCAGAGGAGTGCTGAGCTGGGAGTGCTGCGGAGGTGGCCATGTGCCCACGCTGAGTATCAGCACCCTGCCACTGCCATGGCCAGCGATGACCCCTGATTCCCCAGTCTCCCAAGCCCCCAATCCCCCAATCCACTGCCACTGCTTCCTGTGCCAAGGTGAGGTCTAACCCCAGATCTTGGATGCTCCTCCACGTGTTCCCACATGCTCCCAGGCCCCAGCCACGGTGACAGGGCAGCTGCCCCAGGCTCCGGCGCTTACCTGGGGTGAGGCACTGGTGCCCAGGGAGGTGACACGTCCCGCAGCCTCTGGCTGGGTTTTTATAGCCTCCAGATAGAGACAGAGCCCAGGGGAGCATTACTGAAACCCCTAACTCAGCACATGGCGGGGAGGAGGGACCGGGCAGAACAAAGGAAACGTGTCAGAGACGCTGATGAGCCGGGACATCGAGCAGGCCCACCGGGTGTGGGCTCTGACCCCCGGCCCCACAGCTCCAAGCCGGGGCATTGCCCCCTGGGTCTACCAACACTTCTGCAGCGTGCCCTCCCCAGTGCAGGGCTGAGCTGGGGCCGTGTTCCCACTCTGGCAGTGCTCCTCCTGCCTGCAGGCAGCACTGCCTGCACTGGGGGCGAAGGGAGATTTCCTCACCCATTTCTAGGAAGCAGGAGGAAGGACACGTCTGCACTTGCTCTCCCTGGGAGGGCAGAGCAGCTCTCCCTGAAATCCAGGGCAGTTCATTGCAGGGTGGGCACACAGCAGCCACGGACACTGTAACAAGCAGGGAACAAGGGCATGGGAAGTGAGGGGTGGGTTTGCAAAGGCATGTGAGGGACTGGAGGTGTAGGTCATGATTTGGGCCACTGCTGCAGCAGCCTCCTGCCTCTGCACTGAAAAGAGTCTGCTGCACCCGTATTTTGGGAACCTTTTAGCTTTACTTACCATGACCCCCACACCTCATAAATCATCCTGGGGTGGTGCCAGGAGCATGCCAGGGCTCCGAGGGCTGGGCAGAGGCACCCACCCAGCCTGCGCCTCAGAGCAGGCAGCAGCCAATGGAGGCTGTTAGGCCAAGTGAGAAAACTCGTATTCCCAGAGAGAGCTGTGTTTTGGGACAGCATTTGCCAGGAAACTGCCAGGGGGCTGAGCTGGAGCATCCTTCATGCAGCTGCAGCCCTGTCAGCCCTGGGCACTGCAGGGGAGGCAGAGCAGGCAAGCACAGCAGCCTGGGGTGCTCAATGCAAGCAGCCACCCCCGGCTGCACCAGGGCTGCACGGGCTGTCCCGACATCTGCAACCCCAGCAAAAGCCTTTTGGCACAATTTGTCCCCAACCTCTTACAGTGGCCTGAGCTAAACTCAGCTTGTGCTGGCCACCAGCATGCGCTTGCTCTCCATGCCATGTCCTGGCACGGGGATGTGGCCACAGAGCTGGGCTGTGCCGGGTGTACCCGCGGTGCCACTCAGCACTGGGCAGGGCTGCAGCAGCAGGAGCTCCGTGGGCAGTGGAACTCACGGGGGCAGAACAAACCCCTGTGCCCATTCCCGTGCCCTCTGCAGCCTTGCTGTGCCAGCTCTGGCCTCGTGCTTTGCTGTTGGAGCTGCGCATCCCACAGGCACTCCCGTGCCAGGGTGAGATGGAGCAGAGAGGGGCTTTCTAAAGCACCTGCAGCCGGCGGCAGGGATGGTGCACAGGGAGAGCAGAGATTTTGTGTCTGGGGCACTCAGGAACCACCGAGGACAGATCCCTGCTGTCAGCCCTGCCACAGCACCGGCTCAGGAAAACCATGGAGCTACTTTGTGATCAGAGTAACATGGAGCAGCACAGAGCAGCCATCAGGAGCAGAGCTCAGTCCCTCTGAAATGTTTTCCCAATACCCAATTTCCAAGGTGCTGGGATTTGGAAGAGGAAGCAGAGTCAGGAGCAGGGGGTGGGTGAGACCTGCTGATTAATGCCCAGGAGGCACAGGGGAGGCAGCCAGATAGAACATCCACCCTGGCTCCCCGAGGAAGAGACTTCAGGTTAAATTAGAAATCTGGGTAAAATCCACGGTGCCAATTGAAATCATGAATCCTAAACCACTGCCCAGTGTCCAGGTGAGAACCAGACTGTGGCAGTGCCCAGGGTAACGG